CATTTGAAATAAATGTCTGCTTTTAAATCATATGCTGTTGCTGTTGTTTTTCTCTTAAGATTGCACACCAGTGAAAGTGTACAAAATATCAAGTAGCATGTCCTGACATTGAAAGACATATTTATTTATTATATATTAAACTAATCAAAAGTCAGTTAATGTATTATTAACTGACTATATATTTTACTGATGTTCTCATTTCTGAATATACTATTGACTTATACAAAAAAATGTTGAAAAAAATCTAAGATCTGTTCCATATCCCTCTTTAAACTGTACTTAGTAAAGGTAAGACCTCTGTTAAAAGCAAACCATTATTTCACCAATATGAAAAAAACCTCAAACAGCCACACATAAAATAGAAGAAGTACATCAGTTTAATATCTACTTAAGAGGGAAGACATTGTAAGACACCACATAGAATGAAGTAAGGAAGGAATGGTTTAATTAAAGCCTTGATTTTCTTCAGTTGGTGTGAATTTTCAATAATTATGAACAGAGCTAAATTAGTTGAATGGCAAACTATTTTCATTTCACCTACAGCAGAGTACCCCGTATAAACAAGCATGTGGTTACCGCGCCCCGGTTTAAGAAACACAATTTCCTTTATATTTTTGGGAGTGGAGCATAGGAAAAATAATGCTGGAGTTTTGCAAATCTTTTCTTTTCTGAAGATTTAAGGAAAAGGTTAATTAACTATCTCAGTTAAAGAGTATGATTTACTTCAGTGTTTTCAGATGTAAGTGTAGCACTACTAGTGTATCTCTTTGTCCACCTATAGAGCAGCAGTAGCTACTCTGAGATACTCCCCATTTACCCACACACTTCTTTAGAATGTAGTATCTGTCAGTGGCAGCAGATCTGTATACCCTCAAGCCTTCTTCTTCTGAACACTGAGCATTTAGTTTTTATAATGAGTTAAGACCACCATATTTGCTACTTAAAAGCTTGCCTTAGTAATCAACCACACTGTCTATTCTCCTGACGTGTATTTTAATGAAATACGAGCAATATGGACAGCATGGTGACATGGAGGCTAGCATTGTTGCTTCACAGCTCCAGAGTCCTAAGATCATTTCAGTACCTACTGTATCGGTGCAGAACTTGCATTTTTCTCCCATGTGTCTTATTTGAGTTTTCTAGGGTTTGTCAGGTGCTCTGGTTTCCTCCCAACTCCCAAATCCATGCAAATTAAGTTTGATTAGCTTTCCAGGAGGGGATTTACAGAGATTCCACACTCAGGGGTGATTTCCAATTAACAAATATTAGCTATGGGACTACAGTGAAAACCAAATGCCTTCTTTTTTTGTTACCCTTTGTAATGTTCTAAAATTATAACATAGTTTACAGAAACTGGATTAATTAGACAGCATTTACTTTCAGTACTTAAAGTAGAGAACAATGTTTTTGTTTATTTGGTGTGTTCATTACATTTGTCCTGTGCCACACCAATACACCCTGCTGAGTGGTTTCTCATTGTAATTTATACAGGCAGACATCTCATTAAAATGCAGTTGTTGAGTCAGTGATGAGCATCATTGGTCAGGTATCAACCCCGGTCTCATCAGACCACGCTGCTGTAAACTCATGTCCTTCCTGGGGGAACCACACTGACATGCATCTCGTAACGGAAATACAGCCTCTGGAGATGCACCAGTGAATCCCATTGTGACTCTCCCAACTTTTAATGGGAGTCTCCTATCTAAGATGCTTGTTGTAGTCATGGTGTTCTTTTAAAAAAACAACATATTATCAACCAAGACCAGGACTTTTATTTTATTTACTTTGAAATGTATCTTTAAGGGGGATAGTGCAGGAAAGTGCATATACAGGTATCTAATGTTAATCAACTATGTAATCTGGCAGCAGGTAATCAATCACTGGTGCAAAAAATGATTAGGGTCCTAGGGTTCAGTTCAAGATTGGGCCTCACTGTATGGACTTTACTCACTGTTCTTCTGGGCTTTTGCCAGGTGCTCTGGGTTCCTCCTACATTTAAATTTGTTGTTTTTTGCATAAATATTGTCAAGATTGAGGTTAACAAAGCATACTGTGCTCCAGTTAAGTTTCTCACAGAGAGACAAATTCTAAAAAGTTCTTGGCATTGCAGATTATGCTGTTTTCTTGCTGCCATTACATAAGCAATAGAGCAAACGGCATTTTTTATAGATGTTTGTTTTAAAGTACAGTTTATAGCAATGTTTCTAGCGTAACAAAAAATCAGCAAAGCTTTGCATCAGTGCCGTGATTAAACATCACCTTCTCTTCAGCTGTATAAGAAAAGTAATACTTTCATTGGAAAACGTTTATTTCAAGTACTTTGGTGATGAACAATTCACTTGAGAACGCCGAACAGTAAAACCTGCATTCGTAAAGCCACTGCTCATTTGCCCCGTGAAATCGATATTGAATTATTGAGTTCGAAGTGAATGCTCTGATTTTGCTCATTCAAACGCAATCTAAAAAGAAATAAGGTGCTATGCTTTTTGTAATTGTATTTTATTACATTAAAGAACGCAAAAAAATGAGTGAGACAGAAAAAAAAGGGTAAGAGAGAACAGAGTAAAAAGTTAAAGAATAGACCATCAACTCAAAATGTACCTTTGTGGAAATAAATGCGAATACCATAGTGCGCTAATGGGGAGCAGCAGAATGTGCTTGAATTCGTCTGGACAAAATACCATTAAATAATAAAGGTTCACCGAACCCGTATACATTCACAAAATAAAGTTTTTATCTTTAAAAATGATAAAACTATACAATTATTTACAGACACGCTCCATGCATTACGTACTGTATGAGCCCCATGGGCTTCACTTACGCAGGGCAAGCAATGTAGGTTTGAAAATGGAGACAGCGAAAAGGAATTGATTTATACTGCACCACTCCGACTGTGTAGGACTGCCCCACTCAATACTCTCCGTAACCTTCCGTGTTCACCGCGGTTGTGTGAGCTGAGGATTTACAGAGACGTATGGCGCTGGTTTCACAACCTGGTGCATTTGGACAATACGTTTCCTTAATGGTTCTTCAATCTTTGTTTTAAGAGGTTGAAGAGAAAAGCTATGAATATAAGTCTGCTCAAAAAGTGATCTACACATACTGTACGGTATGAAGCACTGAGAATAAAAATGCATTTTTGCATTGGAAGTTTGAATTATTGTAATACCGCATGGTTACCACATATCGACAACATTGTAATAGTTAATATGATCATACAGTATGTACAGTAGAAACCGTACTTGTCTTCTTAGATATCCTTTTTATTCGCCGCTCACACACGTTTGCATGGGACGATTACAATGTTTCACTGATTTTTTAGATTCCCATGGCAGGCTTTTCAGCTTGAAACTTGCTACCACGTCTTGCTAATAATTCGCATGTTATAGTAAATGTCCCCCGCATCGAATAATTTTCGGCGCTCTAGCACTAGAGGAGAATACTAATATACCACATTCACCGTGACAGGTTGCGAGCGGATGGTTTATTGGTGCAGTTTACAATCAACTATATTGAGGTTCACAAACTGCACGTTCCTCCTAAGAAGAGAGTATTAATCAAACTGTTAGGTGATTTATTTGTGGAACTCAATTCGGTCAAAAATGTAAACATTATGTGCACTTTATCTTTTAGCACGAACTCCGCGTCCTTCAACGCAAATCTAAAGCCATCTAAAAGTGCTTGCATTACAAACAGAACACTTACAGTTTATTGCATGTTGATACCAAGTATCAGCTAAATCATCATTATTATTAATAGTAATATGACCTAGGATGTGAAACAATAATAACGATGATTATAACGACACCCAAGACTACATGCTTAGTGAAGGTTCTAAGTAGTACTGTAATTCGTTCCAATCTCTTCAAATCAATTCATATCATTAACTAAAGCGCTATGACCCGCTCCGCGCACCTTAAGTATTACCTCTGAGAGATAAAAGTCAAATATTTAGTGTGTAGTGGTGTACATGAATTCTACAGGAGGAATTTCTTAGCATATCTTCATTCATATTCATTCTCGCCTTCTTAAAAGCTTTTATTCGATACAGGCAAGTGGCGATACTGCACTTCTAATGCATCCAAACAAAATTTAGCAGATAACTATGCCTAACAGCAACCTTATTACTGTAGGTACCATAAAAATAAACGAACCTAGAAACGTATAGATTAACTGATACCTAAAAGGTTCCGTGTATCACAGACACACCAGTATGTGAGACGTATTTACAGGTATGCACATTTTTCGACGGATTCTGAAAGGCTTTTGTTAATCACCGATACATTAAATGCTCTGTTATAGTTAGAATGCAATCCTAAATTAAGTTTATGATATACATTGCACAAAAGTGCATATGATTCTTATTAAAATTTAGCATACTGAAATGTATTCTTTGTTCAATGTAACTTTTCCAGTATAGTAATAGATTGCTACATAAAAATTGATGATTGATCATTGGAAAACCAATGGAAATAGTCATTAATTTTTATAATTTGACACAAATACATTTGGATTGCGGAATAAACAAAACAACTTATGTTCCACCCAGTGAATAAGTAGCTCAAGTTTGTGCAGATGAAACATCTTTGTAAAACAGGTTAAAAAAACATGACCAAACTACTTATCTCTGAATCTCATTAGTCCAATACTCTTCTTTTCGTGATTTAGAAACGGTCCACAGTAGTCAGACAAGAAGATACAAAATGAAAAGCGGCGATGAAAACAAAATCACGGAAGGTAATGAGAAACATTACTTCAAACTGAATTTATTTTTAAGGAATATCGCTTTCATTTTTTATCGGGGTCTACCCTACAATGTTCAACCATTCTCACAATTTTTACCATTCCAAATAAAACGCCAACCATGGTATAGTTTAGCTGCACTGCCCTGTAATTACTTACCCTGTCTTGTGGTTTTAAGGTGAAGTTACTTAAACATTAAACAAAATATTTTGTGCCATCCCTATGATTTTGAATGCAAAATCAAACTATCGACTTACCGTAAGACTTAGTGTCGCATCTGAGAAAAGATAACCACAGCAGCACAAAAAGAAGCTTTTTCAGCCCAATAAATCCAATAGTATTCTCCATATTTTCGCTTTACCGTTGAGCGGTTCTGTCCCACAATCACACAGATCCTTCTTCCAAACGCAGATTTCTCGAATTCAATTCATGAGCATCAGAAAGAAAGGAAAACCGACACCAAAAGCCAATGGATTTGAACAAGTCTACAGAAGTACGTTTCTCTCTCTGTGCACTTCCTCTGAGCACAGCCAAGTTTGAATCAGATGCGTGGCTGCTCCATCCTTGCGGTGTTCCACGAGCTGAGTAATAAAATACGCCAGACAGACCCAGGAAAGGACCGGCGAGGTTCACTTGTTACGGGAGCTGTCCACTAGCACTCTTTGAGCAGGGAGTTGCGAGATGTGAATCCATTGATCTAAAGAGGCTGGAGGTAAAGAACGGTGAAAACTCCAGCTGGAACGAACCGAAATGCAACGAAACACATGTATTGGGGACGGACAGACGATCTTTCAGCAGGCTTTGCGGGGAATCACTGAGCTCGCTTGCCATCTCTGGTCAGAATGTGAATTGTTAATGTGAGCCATATTCAATCAACGAAACAACCAGGCTGCATGCATCTTCCACCTTTCTGCAAGCTTTAGTTATCGGATTCTGTTAAGTGCACTGCCCCGGCATGTACAGTACAGTAGTGGCTGTATTGACGCTGGTGTTTTGACCTCAAATATAGTAATAATCACTTTATTAGCATTCTTTTTGGTGAATGTGTATTGTTCAGTGTAATATTCGGAATTATAATAAATTGCTTTAAGGATTAGCCAATAGTAAAATACTAGAGTATACTGTAAAAAATCACGAGATTAAATATACTACCGCTGTTGCTACAAATATATAAATATATCCTAAATTAAACTTGTTCTCGGGGATTCGAGCGCTGGAAAATAAGCACAGCATAATCCGTATTTGTACTATTTTTTAATGCGTTAAAGAGGCAATGTGACAAACTGTTAGACTAAAACTCCAACATTGTTCAAAGCCGTAAGATGGTCTGTTATTTTTGTTTTAAAAAGCGAACCTGTCTTTCTAAAACTACTACTGTTGTTGTTACTGCCCTATCGATAATATTATCAATAGTAATTTTCAGGGATCATTTTATGCAATTTAAGGAGATCTTATTTGATCTGAAATGTATATATTTTGCATTAGTATGAATGCGTGTTTTTATTAATTTGTGTACTGTGTCATTTACGTTTTGAACTGTCATAAGTTTAAACTTTCACAGTTACTACTAGTGGCTGGTTATAAAGTCTTTCTGGGTTAAATTCTTAAAATTTGATTGCAGTGCTTTATTTTGCCAAAGTAGGACAAAATAAGCAACAGACCACTACATCTTCGTCTTTCAAAAAATCGTTAAGTTATCGTTCTTATCGATGAAACCTGTTGCAAACATTTTTCTATGATAATGTCTACATGATAAATTTGAAACTTGAATTACCAGAGGTGTGAGAAACAGCTTTAGGAATTACAATTAATGAACGCTACATACGTAACTGTTACAAAAACAACCCATTATACAGTAGATTTAAATCAAGAAAATAAAATATTACAATTAAATACATGTGAACAGCTAAAGCTTTGACTGGATGCAAATTGTTTTAAAAAAACGTCGTGTTTGGTGAACACGCACAGAAAAAAATATATATTTATACAGTATGTAGCAATTTGGTTCAGTGGACTGAGCACGTTCGAGAAGTGACGTCATCTTCCATGAAAACCTAGACAGTGTCGAATTCCCTATCTATGGCGCATTGTGTGCTGGGGTCCTGGGTTCAATTCTGGAACTTGGGTGTTGTCTGCGTAGAGTTTGTATGTTCTCCCTGTTTTGTGTGGGTGCCTTCCTGGCGCTCTGGTCTCCTCTCATAGTCCAAAAACATATTGGCAGGTTACTTGGCTTCTGGGAAAATTCGTCCTAGTCTGGCTAGTTTTTGTATGTGTGTGACCTGCAATGGACTGGCGTCCTGTCCAGGGTGTAACCCACCTTGCAGCATTTGCTTGCATTAATAGGCTCTAGTTCTCCCGCATCCCTGTATTAGATAAAGCAGCAAGAAAATCGACTGAGTGCAGAAGACCTGGTCTTTAAGTACAATTTGTTTATTTCTGTGACAAAAAAACAATTGTACACTTACATGAATATCATGAAATGCTACTTATAGTAAATTGCAAGTAACTGCTTGCCAGAACAATTATTGTATATTCATTATACAAGTATGGTAAATAAAAAAGAAAAACAAACAGACATGTTAAGGCAAATAAATCAGTGTAAGTAACCATGCTTAATTTATTATGGCTTGCTGAGTTTGGCTTAATATAAAGTCTTTGAATATTTCTGTCCTTTCTTACTAAGACTATACTGGATGTTTTAACTTAAACTTGCCAAAACACTGTAGTGTGCTCTCTGAAGACACCACTTCTGTAGGGTTTCTGCATTTACTGGGACAATTATTAATTGTAGCAGTAAATCACAAAATGATTCTTTTGATGGCCTTAGAATCCAACCATGCGATATAACTCAAACAACGCACACACACAGGTACTAATACACGAGGATACATTTATTAATACATATAATATGCATGTAAACTTAACAGATCTTATCGAGAGGGTTATCAGAATACAAAAGGTATATATTCAGTCAGTTACGAAGTGTTACATATATCAAGAGGACATACGTTCAGTACATCATTCATTTAGACCGTTTGGTAAATGAACTTGGTTATAACTTCTACATTAGATACTCAAAACAAGTACATAACTCTTAGGAATTAAATTGATATCAACTGGTTGGGATAACAATTTAATTCTCAAGCTGTAATGCATTGAAGTTGAATACTCATCCAATCTCTGGGGATTCAGATCTCCTGCGGGCACAAAGAAACAGTTTCAGACTGATGCTGTCCAATCCGCGCTCTCTGGCTCGGTGCCAGGCTGTGCTGTGTGGCTTGTGACAGTGCGCTGCTGATGCCCACTGACCGGCTAGTTAGTGTTGGCTTTAACTAGCAAAGTTTGCGCACAGGAGAAAAGATGACTGTGGGTCCCAGCAAGTCAGGAAGAGGACCGGTTCATTCCTGATGAAGAGCTAGTTCTGAATAGTGATTCAGCTGTCCACAGTTCTGACCTGTTCACGAGGCCTGCTGCTGGTGCTAACCTCGGGTGGATCCTCTGGTTACTCTCTGGCAACCTCCGCTCTAGACTCTTAGAACAAAGGAAAGGCCTGGCACTCGGACACACTGGCCGTTCCGTGGTTGTCCGGGCTGAGTCTCAGGATGGTCAGGAGGCACGCTGCGAGAATGTCCTGCCCTTGGGAGCCTTCTGCTCCTGGGCCGTCCTGCCCTGGAATTCTCCTTTGAATTCCCTTTAGAAAAGTCCACAGAATAGTCTCTCAGGCCCTCTGTGTTGCCTGTTTTTACCTGGAGGAACTTCAGCTCGTTCATTGGCTGAAAGTTTCATGGGCATCAGAGTCTCACGTGGGTTACTCAGCCCTACCAGTCCCTGATTGGTTGATCAAGGTGAGATATGAGTCACTTACTCCTGAAACTTAGGAATGCAGTCCAGATGTCCATCTGGCACTCCCTAGACAAATAGGCGCCAATGGATGACCATTGATCATGATAGCCAGGCTTAGCTAAGTGCATTCCTATTTGGGAGCTATCCCTTATCAAAAGAAAACATCTTTAAATCAGCCTGCATGAATAGTTTCTTTGTGGCTGCACCACAGAGATGAACAGAGAGATGAGGCCTCATTTGGGAAAGCACAGCAACACTTAATTCTGTCTTATTAACAAGCATTGCTGCTACAACACTCAAGCAGATATATGATTCAATCTAAACAAAATGCCAGGATCGGTGGACTCTTATTAAGATTTAGTTTGACATGTTTTTTGTTTGCTCATTTTTTGAGCTGTGAGAGCTGTGTCAGTGGGCATTGGCTTCAAAGGAACAAGAAAAGGTTAATTTTTGCACGAGAAAAAGAAGAAATGTGTTCGTAGTTAAGCCTTCTTTCCAGTGTCACACCTGTTTTTCTGAAAAAGAAGTCAAACTTTTATTTTGCAAATCAGTACCACAGTTGTCCAAATTGTCATAACAAATCCCCCTTTTCACTTTATCATGACACTGTGTTATATAAGTTGATTATAATTACCGTATGTCTTAAAAGTCAACTCATGAATCAGCCACAGGAATTGTCAGCAGCACTGAAGAGTGGGTGATGATGGTAGTGTATAAACTGGAGAGTTATACAGTAGGTTCCTGTCCAGGGAGAAATTCAACTGTTGCTTCTTTAGGCAAGTGTTAATTCTCTGTGGATTGAACTCCAATTCTTTATTAGAAAAACACCATATTAAATACAGTAATAATAAAAAATAAATGAAAATACAAAGCATGTAACCACAGTTCATCCATAGCCATAGGTAATGATGTAATAGTCCTGTCGTTAAATTTGGGGTTCTGGGTATACACACTATGTCTGGAGTCAAACTACTAACTACAGTCTACTGTAATATAATATACAATCATACAATATAAGCACAAACAGATCTGGGCAAAACAATGAATGACTCCTTTCTGAGTCAATGCTCCAGGGCAGAAGCAAGAGAACATAATTACATTGAACTGATCTTTCATACAAACATAAACACGATAGGTGGGAAAGGGGGACTTGGGTAAATTTGACCACAGTGTATATCAGTTAATTTTTGGAGGGACATTATAAAATCTCAATTTCAGAAAAGTTTATTTTAAGGGAATGAGACAGTGTTTAAGAGAAGGAGATCGGGGTTGAATTAGTTCGGGAAACATTATTATTGGAGGTACATTACAAATCACACTTAAGAATTACATACTGTAACACACACTGCTGTTAAAGCTTAAGCAAACAATACAATATCCATACATACTGTATATGGTCATAAATTAGTTAACTAAATTGCCATATAATTGATTGTTAGTACATCACTGACTACAAGGTTATTATCTCTGTATCCATGTTCCCTTTGTATATTGGGGGTTATAAGGGGCTTATACATGGATTTTCAGTCGTTTATGCATAATATAGTCTTATTTAGAATAAGTAGACGAAAGATGCATACATTTTAAAAACATATTTGAAGGCACAAAACTGTTGGACTAAATAGATAAATGGAACAATCAGAACAAAATGTGTACAAAATAAATCGTTTTAGACAATAAGGAGTGGTAAATAACTCTGAATAATTATTTTGAACTATTACTCAACAATACTGTAGAAAAAATACAATTTAGTTTAAAATCTCAGAATAACAGAGGATGAAGTGTTTGATCTATAAGAAGTTAAAACAAATCATCTAGGCCAGATGGTATTTTCTCACTTGTAACTAAGTTATTCATAGGCAACTAACTACAA